GGGGCCAGTGAGTGGTCTGTCATATTCCCTGGCCCCTTGCCATTGTAAGCATGACTCTCCAGGTGGTAGAAACGCTGCAGTTTTGCAACCTGTGTGAAGAGAATGTGGAACAACCCTGAGTGGACATGAAGCATGAATGAGAAAAATGCCACTAAGATGTGTGTGTGTGTGTGTGTGTGTGTGTGTGTGTGTGTGGCGGGGGGGGGGGGGGTCGGGGGGATGACAGGCGTGGTGGCGGCAGAGTTTGCCACCACAAAATATATGCCTTTTTGGGGGGATACTGATTATTTTAAGCTGGTTGTTTTTAAAAAACAAAGAGCTCAGCTGACGTAGTTGAGCGCTGACCTATGAATCACGGGGTCACGGTTCCCCTCCCAGTCAGGGTATATTCCCAGGTTGCGGGCTAGATCCCCAGTAGGAGGTGTGCAAGAGACAGCCAATTAATGATTCTCTCTCATCATTGATGTTTCCATCTGTCTCTCCCTCTCCTTACATTCTGTTAAAAAAAAAAAAAAAAAAAAAAAAAAAAAAAAAAAAGACTCAGGAGGAACCTTTGAGCTTCCTAACTGCCTAAAAGGATCTCCACAGAGGACCTGCCCCGGGAAGGGAGCTATCATCACAGACCCTACAGTTTAATCCGAACCAGGTGTGATAGACAGGGAGGAACCCAGCAAGGTTCATTTCATCCACATCCTCTCTGTGTCCCACTGTTTCAGCGTGGCGCAGCAAACGCTTGTTTACCAAATATTTGCACTCTTCATCTTCCTCTAAATTGCCTCCCTCCCCTTTGAAGTTCCAGACCACAACCCCCACCTCGTTTCTTCTTACCATATAAGCCTCAACTGCCCCTTTGTCCTGGGGCCCCATGTTCATAATTAAATTTGGTTATTTTCTCCTGGGGATCTGGCTCATGTCAATTTGATTATTAGACCAGCCAGGACACCAAAGAGGAAAGGGGGGGTGGGGGGGCCTAGATTTTCCCTCCCCTGCAGATGTTTGGATCGTTATGGCAACTTATCATGATTGATACAGGATATGATACCATCTTCTTTATATTATTAACTAGTGGCCTGGTGCATGAAATCCCTGCACATTAAAAGGGAATTAGAATAAATATTTTAATATTGCTATTTGCCCTTTCTCTATAATAGAAGTGTCAGGGATGAAAGAAAATTAGTAGAATGTATATAAAATCTCCCTCCTGTCAGAGTCTGGGGCCCGCCGAGGGACCTAGAGTCAAATCCCCGCCCACCACCTGCACACACTTTGAAAACATAGGAGACCCAGGCCTGGCCGGCCCCACCCCCACTGGGTGAGACCCAGACCTGGCCAAGACCTTCCAGGTGTGGGGGGGTGCAGTCTCAGGTCCCCCGTCAAGCTCTGCTAGGAGGGGCTGAGGCCTCATGTCCCCCGGCCCAGGCCAGGGCAGGGGGCACACCTTGAGGTCCCCCATAAAGCTCAGCCCCTCTCCTTCTTCCCCCTTCCCTTGCAACATCATGTCAGAGCTGAGCAGGGACGCATGCAAGCACTGTCGCATCCCCAGCCAGGGAAGCAGGCAGCTTCACCTCAGCGCTGGGTGGGGACACACCCACAGACTGGCTCACCATAAAGGACAAATTAGCATATTACCTCTTTATATGTATAGATTTTTTTTTTTTAGAGAGAGAGAGAGAGAGACTCTCTCCTTCCAGGGAGCACACACAGAGAGAAAGAGAGAAAGATCAATTTGTTGTTCCACTTATTGACACATTCATTGGTTGGTTCTTTTTTTTCTTTTTTTCTTTTTTTTAATATATTTTTATTGATTCCAGAGAGGAAGGGAGAGGGAGAGAGATGGAAACATCAATGATGAAAGAGAATCATTTATCGGCTGCCTCCTGCACACCCTCTTCTGGGGTTCAAGCCCACAGCCTGGGCATGTGCCCTGACCAGAATTGAACCTGGGACACTTGTCCTGATGTGTCTATCCACTGAGCCAAGCCAGCCAAGGCTCATGGGTTGATTCTTACAAGTATATGTGTTCTGATCCAGCATTAAACCAATAACCTTGAAGTGTCAGGATGATGCTCTAACTAACTGAGCTACTCACTCAGGGCTTATACCATCGTTCATATACATATATATAAAGAAAAAGGCAGAAGTAAATATATAGTGCTATTTTCTTGCATATAAGTATACACAGAAAATTAATAACAATGGTTACCTGAAAAAGGTGGCAACATTATAGAAAAGATGCTCTTTACTGTTTGTATGTTTTATTTTAGAGCCATATGTATTACATATTCAAAAATGCTAATTCAAAAATAAATGGTAGCACAAGAACATTATGTAAAAATATGGAAGAAAATATCAGATGAAATAAATAAAGCAGATACTTCTAGGTAGTGAAATCTAGAAAGGAGGATTGTTATCTCCATTTAATATCATTCACCACTATACAATTTTAAAACTATTTTGATTTTTTTTTAATTAAGAGAAAACCCACAGAGAGTGGCCAACCTCCTGTCTTATGAAGACATTTCACGAGGGCTAAACTTTATCCAACTCTGTCTCGCATGAGGAAGTGACATGCTTTCTAAATTCCTCCAACCTGCCAATCTTTCACAGATTGAATCAGTTTTCTTAAAGTTATGGAAAACTGCGACCAGTCTTGAATACTGTTTAGCACAAAATTCCACCCAAGGGCTGGTATCTGATTTCACAGGCTAACCAAGAGGAAAACCAGAAAAGCCACAGATATTTTTGTTTTTGCCAAGACAGGCAAGTTCTGCTTTAAAATACCCTCTGTCCACCACCACCACCACCACCACCTGCCTGCTGTCCACGTCAGAAATCTGGAAGTCATCCTTAACGCTCCCCTCTCCCCGACCCCTTCACATGTCAGATCCCATAGGTTCCGCCTGGAATTGGTCTCCTCCCTAACCCTGCTGCCTGGATCACTGCAACCAACACCTTCTCTAACTGTGCTCGTTGCTTCCCGTTTTGTACCTCCCAGGACACTTCCTTTGCTGCCGCTCCAGTGATCTTGTAAAAGACAAATATGACCACATCATGTATCACTTTAAACACTTTATGATTCCCCCACTGCCTTAGAAATAAAACTCCAACTGCTGTAACAGAACCTCCATCATCTAGTCCCTGTCCACCTGTCTGCCTCATTTATCTTTACAGCTTGCTCTATCCTCCAACGTACTGAACTTTCTCAGAGGGACCAATGGCTATTTTTCTTTTGCCCCCAAGCCTTCATGCGTGGTGTTTCTATCCGCCTCAGGCACTCTTCCTCCGTTTGCTTCCCACTCAGCCTTCAGCTCAGACATCCTTCTTCCAGAAGGTCTTACCTGACACCCTGGGTCCAGGTGGGTAGCCCTCCTCTCTGTTCCTGGAGCTCCCTGTCTCTGATCAGAGCAACACCAGTCTGGGCTCTGTGGAAGATACTTGTTTCTTTATCTGACCTCCTTTCTGTAAACTGTAAACTTTATCTCTTTTCTTCAACATTGTATTGTCAGCTCTGGGCTCATGGTAGGGATTCAGAGAATACCTGCTGAATAAGCAAATGAACAAGACAGAAATCTAGAATCAAGTTCAGGTTGACATTTGATTTTTAATCAAGTAGAAACTGAATAAATATCTCTGCCTTTCTCTGGTCAGGAACAATACAAAGCCTGGTAACTTCATCTTTAAAACTCCCAGTCTCCAAGTGACCCAAGTGCTTGGCTAAGAGCTGGCTGCCAGACTAAAGGTAGCTTATAGAAGTATTATAGAAGTATAGAAGTATGTTCTTTTATTTTTTTTAATATATTTTATTGATTTTTTTTTTACAGAGAGGAAGGGAGAGGGACAGTCAGAAATGATGAGAGAAAAACACCAATCAGCTGCCTCCTAACCTCACCCCACCCTGGGGACGTGCCCACAACCAAGGTACACACCCCTGACCGGAATCGAACCTGGGACCCTTCAGTCTTCAGGCCGATGCCCCATCCACTGGGCCAAAAGGGTCAGGGTGGTAGTATTTCTTTCACAAATTGAATCCTCACACCATCCCAATATAAAGGACTGGTGAAAGGAACAGTTGGTGGATAAAGGCTAGTACACAAACCCCTTTTCATTTAATAAGCTTTGATATGAACAGATTACAATTGACACCTGCCTCTGCTAAGTGTCTGGGGCTCTATTTGGTTCCTGCAAGCAGCCAAACTGCCTTTCATCCATTATGTCTCTAATCCCCAAGGAAGTGAGATGAAATCCCACGTATGTTTCTAGAATGAAGCATTGTTTTCTTCAGCCAAAAATCTGTAATTCCTCATTAGACTGTCAATAGCAATACTGAAGATGGGCAATTTCATTTGAAGCCAGTTGTACCAAGAACAAATGTCACCACTGGGGATCGTACGGGGTAATTAGGAAGCAAAGTGGTGACATATGTACTACGAGGACAGCGTGGCTAAAATGTTTCTCTAGGGTGGCCCAAGGGTAAGTCTTACCTGGAGTTAGAGGAATGCATCTAACCAACACCGGCCTGTGAAAAAGGTTTCAGCGCCACAGAGAAATGAGAAATAGACTTTGTGGGAGAGTTTTCTGAAAGCTACATGTATTCTTTTTATTTTTTAATTTTGAGTTTTCATTACGTGCGTTCAATTTTTTTTTTTGTATTGGCTGACATTTCTAACATGAAATAAAGTTAGAATGGGAGCAAGTAACAAAACAATGTGTATGCATAAGAAATTAGTAACGAGTTCCTCAAGAAACTGGAGAGCTACTGGAAAAGGAGGGAGAGAGAATTTCCTTTTAGTTTTTAAAAAATGTGAATGTATTAATTCGTCAAAAAACAAATTAAATTAAAATGAATGAGATGAATTAAATGAAATAAAGTTGAAATGAAATAGGAATCGTATACAGCAATAGTTTATGTCCTAACATGGAAAAAAAAATTGGTAATTCTATGTCAGACTTGAAAACAAGTACAAACATTTTTCATCTATAAAATTCCAAGGTCTGGGAACTATTTCAAATTTTTTTTTCTTCCAATAAGCCAATATTAATTGTCTTCTCATTCCTGCTAAAGAAGGCCCATGTGTTGGTTTGTCTGGTAATGTTGACTTTGACCATTTGGTTAAGGTGATGTTAGCCAGTTTTCTCTAAAAATTCTCTCTTACTCTTTTATCCTTGTAAATAATTTGTGTGGAGAGTTTGAGGCTAGGTAAATATCCTTATCAAACTTTCATCACTATTCTGAGCAACCACTGACTGTATAGCACCTTTATTCCTTCCATCACAGGCCCCTACAATTTCATCTGGTCTACCTGCATCTCTGACTGAAATTCTCCTCTCCTTTCGCCTATCTGGTTGTTATATTAATCTTTGTTGTTGTTTTCTTTGTTTGTTTGTTTGAACCCTCACCCAAGGATATTTTTTCCAATGATTTCTTAGAGAGAATGGGCCACAGGAAGAAGAGGGGCAGAGAGCGAGAAATATCTAAACATCTACATAGGACACATGGGTTGGTTGCCTCCTCAGTGAGCCCCAACCAGGGCCAGGCATCAAACTCACAACCCTTAGATCTGCAGGCCGATGCTCTAACCACTGCACAAACCAGCTAGGGCCGTATTAATCTTTGTAACCAGTCTGCAAAACAAATGACTACTTACTCTGTGTATAATGTGTTGTGTATAACAGGTGACGATACCAGCTGGTCAGTAAACCCCATACAATGAGTGGTGTTGTATAGGTATATCCACAGAATAGTCATGTAGCACATTATCACGCATGTGCAGTGGCAACATTGGGGAACAGGAGTTTCCATATGAGGGATATAAATCTTCCAGGCAAAGGCTAAAATTGAATCAGCTACTTGCAGTAAATCTTCACAGTGTATACTCTTCAAGCACATAAGGTCATTATTTAACTTATACCCATATTGTAACACGCAGGAAATAGAAAAAAAAATGAATAAAGCTTGAATAGTCCATTTTCCCCACCCTCCCTGCTTAGGTTTGTCTTCCCATTAGTGCAAATAATTGAGAGCAAAATCATCTGTGAGAGAGGACAGAATGGATCTCTCTCTCATCCACTCTACGTGTTTCTCTGAGTAAATATCCTAAGTAACCTATTGTAGATACTTCTTTCATACGATGTAGAGGTGAAAACAAAAATAAATTAGTCCTCTGGGCATCCAATGAGTAGGCCTCGTCTTTTTCTAGGTACTGGAGTATTTGTTTCTTCAGCCAGCCTCTACCGGTATTTTAATTCCCTGGTTCTCAATTATGACTGCCTTTTGCAATCACCTCTTGAATTAAAAATAAAAAATAAAAAAAAATCTGATGTTTGTATCTCATCCTGGGAGAGTCTGACGCCCTTGGCCTGAGGTGGTGCCTTGGCCTGGGTGTTTTTTAAACAAATCCAGAGACTGGTAAGCAGCAGAGTTAGAGAAACACCAGTTTAAACCACTCGGAATGAATACTTTTGTAGGAAGGAAGGGGTTCGGGAGAGTCTCACAACCAACTTAAAGAGAAAAGGCAAGTTCTGCAGAGCAAGTGGGTGCGGCCCTCTCTCTGGCCTTTAACGGCCACACTGAAGTGCAGGTTCCGTCCAGCCAGGTCCCGAAGGCCTCAGAAGTTTTAAAATTCACTGGGAAGTTCAGGGGTGCCAGGCTGTCTTGCTTGTAACAAGTGCGGCAGAGGCTGAAAAGACAGGTGTGGGCGTCGCTTCCCGCTTGGGGATCCGGCGCTAGGGTAGCGGGTCACTGCGGGGAACCGAGCCCGACCAGCTCCGCCGGGTGGAGCGCCGCCTCCGTGGCCGAAAGCTCAAGCCCTTGCGCAACTGCCGGCGGGAGGCACGTGGTGCGGTGGGCGGGGCCTCCCCGCAAGGCTCGCTATGGACTACAAGTCCCGGCATGCCTCTGGCACGGGTGGGGCGGGGCGGAGAGGGCAGCCCAGTCCAGGCGTGCGCAGTGGTTCTCGGGAGTGGCGGGGCGGGTCCACCCGGGCTGCCCGCTGTAGCCCGGGGTTCCCGGGTGGGGGGTGGCCACGGCCATTGGCGGAGAAGCGGGAGGGGCGTGGTCCTCGGGAGCTGCCGCCGCAGGTCAGGCTGCACGGGCGGGCGGAGGCCAGCGGCAGACTGGAAAGGCACGCGTCCGGTTGCTGCGTTTCTGTCCCGTCATGGCAACGTCGCCCCTGAAAGTGTGCATCGTGGGCTCGGGGAACTGGTGAGCGGCGGTGGGCTGACGCCACGGGATCCGCCTTCAGGAAGCCCCGCTCCCGGGCGTGCGAGGCTAGGGCCGCGCGTCCCCGCAGCGGCGTGGGCACCGCGCACCGCGCGCAGGCAGGCGGGGCGGGCGGCCGGCCTCAGGGCCGGGCTGGGTACCGCGCACCCGGGGAGGCCGAGGCGAGGCACTCGCCCCGGAGGCTCTGGGCTCGCGCGTCCTCGGGGAGCAGCGCGGAGAGCGGGATGGCGCGCCCGCAGACACCTGTCTGCGCTCCTGTCACCGCGCGCGGGGGGCGCAGCGAGGCCACCTGCTCTCCACGCCTGGGTGTCCTGCGCAACAGCCTCATAAGGGCGTTCTCCGTTCTCCGTTCTCGGCGGATCGCCCAGGTGGAGGAGTGGAAGGAGGCTCCAATAATCTTCCTATAGCTTTGGTGATCGGGGAGAAAAAGGTAGAGAAGGCTAAAAGGCGCTTGCTATCCTGGTTTCTGGCGGGGCGGCACTGCCCTTCAAAGTGCGAGTCTAGCCCCCCGTCGCTGTTGCGTGTCGTATCTTAGTAGCGTTGGGTCAGGAAGAAAACCCAACTTCCAACACAGACCTGGCTCCCAGAATAATCCAGGGGCATAGAGAATTATTCTCTGGGGGGATGTTTCCCATGCTTTGCGTCTCTGCGAGGCTTTATTTGACTTTTAACATTTACACAGCACTTTCTGCCAAACAGTCTTGTAAGCATTCTATAATGTCTGCTCCCTGTTAGTTCCCTTTATCAATCTTACACAATGTGATTCTCTGGTGAGCTGGGGGAGGGGGCAACGTGTAGGATAAAATCTGATCTTTTCGATCTCGCTTCTGTTGCCGAGCACTATTTTTCCCTCCCGCATCTGAGGGACGGGGATAGAATCTTCAGAGTGACATTCATCCAGTGTTTTTTGTGTCCCTGTGGTCTGACACTCATCACAGTTAGGGCTTCTAGGAGCGTGGTGGCAATTCCTATTACTGCCTACTTCTTGGAGGAAACGTTAACTGGTTCTTTACCTTTTCCTTCAAGTCCAGGTGGCCCTCTGACCTATGGCCCCAAGGCATGATTGTTTATCTGTTTCTACTCCTCCCCAATCCAGCACTTGAGAACAGCATTTACCCTAGGGTAGGGGTGTCGAACTCAATCAGAGAAGGGGCCAAAATCTAAAATCCAGCCTAAATCTCGGGCCGAATGGTTTACTGAACAGTCATAAACTGTCATTGTGATGGAAACGCAGCGAAGTGCAGTGATGACAGCGCGGTGTGGGCCACATTGCAAGGCCTGGCGGGACGGATTTGGCCCGCGGGCCTTGTGTTTGACACATGTGCCTTAGGGTCTGGCGTATGCTAAGTAAATACGGAGTGTCTGAAAATGGATTTTTTTAAATACGTGTTTTTAAAACTAACTTTTAAAATGTAATTATACTTGATTAGGTAATATATTCACGTGTTTAAAACCCAAAAGAAAAAAAAAAAAAAAAAAAAACCTCACAAACAAACACCCTGTACCATCTCCCACCCACACTTGTGCCCCAAGGACCTTCTGGAGGAAAACGGGTGTTACCTGTTTCTTCCATCCTTTCTGGAGGAATTCCATCGCCTGCAAATGAATGTTTACATATATTCCTTTCCCTCTGTGCCCTGCAAACACTAGGATATGAATGCGCTTTTCTGTTAAAAATAGTGTCTTCACAACATTGAATGGAGTTGGTACCCATCCACGGCAGAGCTTCATTTGGTCTCTCAGTCCGGCTTTCCCAGTTTCGATCCCCAAGGTCACTCGAGTGAGATGTCAGCTGCCCTGTTGGCCATGGCACTGGCAAAGCACCCACTTAGCGGGTGTCCTTTTAACATGAGGCTCCTCTTCTGTGAGAGGACCCAGAGCCACAGGTGGCAGCACCTTTCCCCTGTTTGCCCTGTGCAGGGGAAGTGGCACCGCTTTGCCCCGCTGGGTTTGGGCCTGGATCAGGAGTGGTGAGGTGAACCTCCTGCCCCCTCTGCTGGGATTTGGCTGCCTTCCCCCAGTTTCACTCTGTACTTGCCTTTTCTTGGCCCACGCCGGCCCAGGGAGTTGGAGCAAAACTTGGCCTGTGACACTGGAGCAGAGCAATTGAGAAATGTGCCGTGCCGATGGTTTGGGCTGGCTGCCTGGCCCCAGGAACTAGGGATCAGATGGGAACAGTTGTTGGCTTCCTTGCCACGGCTCTGGGTTCAGAGCCACCCCAGTCCTAGAGAGAGGATCACCGCCTGCTTCGCCAGAGATTCAAGAACTTGGGAGCTCGTTGCGTATTCTGCTCTGGTCCGTAGACGTTTGAGGGTTTGGCCTGTATAGTAGGTATTGGGGGCCTTTCCAGGGATACAGGCACAGCTAGACACAATCCCTGCCATTAAGAACTTGGCTTCAGACTTGAGATAGATAGAAACTCGGAAGGTAAATTAAAAATAAATAGAAAGAGGAATGAAATATCTGTCACGGGATTAGGTGTGACCATTAGAACAGTGTTTCTCAAAATGGGATCCAAAAGCCACTTGCATCAGCATCACCAACTGAAGCTAGACTTGTCCCAGAGGTTGGGGACAGATTTTCCCCTGAGAGACTTTAGCTTTTTGCTCATTTTAAAACAGAGCAGCTCTACCTTCCCAGATGTGGGCTTCTCAGGGATGTGAAGGTGATTGAGCACATGTTCCACTTGGGCCTTTCAAGTAGCTCAGAATGCTTATGTCAGGAGAAGTGTTGTCACACCTAAGCTCCTAGCTCCAAGGTGGCTGCAACCCTCACATTGAGGGTAAGTGATCAATGGCAATATAGACACCAGAAGACTGAATCTAGCTGACTTGCCGGGCGCTTCAGCCAGAAAGGATATATGAGGGGGAAGTACCCGGGTTGTGTAACATGTCCTTGACCTGCCTTTGGCACCTCCTTTCCTCTAAGTCAGGGAGGAGGCTGGAGGTTGGCCCTCAGGCACCCACCCCAGCTCAGCCCTGCTGTGCTGCATGCCACAGGGAATGCTGGAAGCTGCTTCCTTAACCTGTATGGCCCTTTTTGGTTCTGGTGACGCAGAAGAAAACAACAAAACGCGCACACGGTGACTCAGAAAAACAATAACAGAAAGAACATACCTGTACACCAAAAAAAAAAAAAAAAAAAAAAAAAGCTTCTTAAGTAACTCCTAAGATGAAACAAAGTTTCTTCATCAGAACCTTGAGAAGGTCTCCCAGACACAGTGCAAGATCCAGTTCTAGAACTGAATTGTCAGGGCTGTGCGTACAGCCACACCTCTGTGCGAGGGAGCGCGTGTCGCAGGCCTGCTTTGGAGGCAAGGTAGAAGAAGGGCCTTTGGTTTCTGTCTTGGCAGCTCTGAGGCCTTGAGCAAACTGCTTCTCTCCAGGAATCATTGCTTAAAGGTTGGTACTACCTGCTGTCTAAGATTACGGTTGCGATTAAATGAGATGATCTAGGGAGAGTACAAGGTGAGTAGACCTTAATTAATGCCAGCTACCATTAATCATTATGATTATTGATTTCATCATCCTTTGGCCAGCACCATCTTGGGTCATAAAGTGCACCAGTTGGGGTTTGGCCAAGGAGCAGAGGCAGAGCTGGGAGAGAAGGCAGAGCACCCCTGGTATGCAGCTGGGGTTGTTTATCTCTTAGCAGCCTGAGGCCTGAGACTGAAGGTCGGGGAGAGGTCTGGCTTGCTTTGCATTGGTGACTCAAGGGCGCTGTGTGTGACTCATCTTTTGTGGTCTGCTGGAACCTTTGAGGGCCGTACTGCTCTCTGCCCACCTTTGTCACCTCCTTGCCTGTACTACTGTTTCCGTCCCTATTCTCACTACACTGCCACACGGAGAGCCCAGAAGCAGTCTGAGCGGCTGTCCATTAGCTCCTCTGAGGTCAGAAATAATCCCTTCTCTGTGGACACTGGTAGCACGGACCCACTTCTGCTTTGGAAGCTGGAGTTTAAGCACAGGATGGGTGACAGCTGAACGTGGCAAAGATTCAGAGTCCCCTCTGACCAGCTTGTGGAGAAAGTTTGTGCAGTTAGAAAACAACAGCAAACTGTTACAGAATCACCCGTTTGAATTCGGATAGACAGAAAGGCTTTCTGCATCGCCTTCTCCCCTTCTTTATGCCAAGTTGTCCACATGGTTCCTCTTTCCCCCCCGTGTTTTCTCCCTTTGATTTGAAGCTTAGGAAGCTTCCCTATCCAGAGATCAAATAAGCATGCACCAAGAGGAATCTATTTGAAAAATGCTCCATGTCTCACAATCGTATCGGACACCCGGGCATTTGATTATGCTTGAAAAGTCATTTAACGGCCAAGAATTACACAACATGCTAGCAGTGGTTCTTCCCCAGGCGGTGAGATTATACATAATTGCTTTTTCTTCTTTCATGTATTGCTTTTATGAGCAAAACCATGTAATGTTACTTAAACCAAATCTGACCCCTCTGTGTCCTTTAGCTCCACGGTTGGGATCAGCTCTTGGGGAGACCTGGCCTGGAGCGGGGAACATCGGGCATTCGGAACCCTTGTCATTCTCTTTGCTAAAAGGAGGGCGGAACTGTTGGTTGAGTCTTTTCTGCCCAGAAAGAGCCTGCACCCTGTGAAGCAGTGTGGCCACCAGAGTTCTGTCCGGTTTGGGCCTGACTTGACAGGTGGCCATTCCATGGGTGATGCAGCGCCTCTCCCAGCCTGATTAAAATATTATACCTTTTTATTTTTTTAAATATATATCTTTTAATTGATTTTCTACAGAGAGAAAGGAAGAGGGATAGAGAGTTAGAAACATTGATGAGAGAGAAACAGCGATCAGCTGCCTCCTACACATTCCCTCCTGGAGATGTGCCCACAACCAAGGTACATGCCCTTGACCGGAATCAAACCTGGGACCCTGGAGTCCACAGGCCAACGCTCCATCCACTGAGCCAAACCGGGCAGGGCTCCTTTTTATTTTAATTTTTTAAATATGTTTTTATTGATTTCAGAGAAGAAGGGAGAGGCAGAGAGAGAGAGAGAGAGAGAGAGAGAGAGAGAGAGAAGCAGCGATGAGACAGAATCATTGATCAGCCGCCTCCTACACATGTACAAGGTAACAACAACAACCAGTAGAATGAAAACAAAACAGTGCGGCAGAATTCTTGCCAAGCACCACTCCCTGACAAGGCCCGAGTCTGAGGCCGCCTCATACTTTGTGAAGAAGGGAAATTAGCACATGTTGGAGGATGGTAACCACAGAGTCACACTCGAGACATTCTACACTCTTAGAAGGGTGACATGTTGGAAGCCGCCCATTGCCTTCACTAGCAGAGAGGTGTGGACAAGGAACCCGGAAGGCTGGTCAACCTTGAAGCTCTGAAAGGTCTGAGCCAACCACCCACTATTTAGTTGAGACAATAGTAGCTAACACAACTTCCATCTTTTAGTTTTATGTAAATCCTTGCTAATTGGCTATTATTGGAATTGCCTGCCTAAGGGCTATGGGTATATCCCACAATTTGAATAAAAGGGATAGCAATGCTGGAGTGGGGTGGAGTCCTTCCTCTTGAGCTGGGCTCCTGCCTGGCCCCCCAATACTTCCAAATTAATATTTTCTAGTCTCTTTCATGGAGAAACCCTTCCTTTGTGGCCATGGGACCTCAACCATGACCAAGCTACACACACTGCCCTCAGAGGCTGCAGTCGGCACTTTTGTTTTAAGCTGAGTTCCAATGCATCTGTGTACTTTTTGGACTGGCCCTCTGCAGGCCAGTCACTTTCCTGAGAACAGGATCTGCCACTGTAAGTAGACCCCAGTCCTTCCAACATACTCGGGTTCCTCCAGAACATTCCCTTTGCTGTGTTTGCTCCTGCTTCTTCCAGTTGTAGTAACAGTGCCATTTCAGAGCTAAAAAAGGAATATACTCTTTTATAAGTAGCCTTATAGAGGTATAATGCTTATATCAAAACATTGGTCATGTTTCATGTATATCATTTGATGGATTTGAAGATGGGAAACCATCAGCACAGTTGTGATTCTTGGCTTGGCCGGGCTCAGCCATGTGTCTGCGGTTAGTGAGTGTTGGGTGGGAGCTCTGCGTTGCCTGCTCTGCCCATTCCTACTTCATGAAGCCTTTTCTGTTTCCCATCAGAGGCATAGTCTTCCTCAACACGATCCCCATGCCTTCCCCCGTACCCCAGCTGGGGTCTGTCCATCAGGGTCCTCCCAACAGAAGGCCCAGCACGGGAAACCTCTTATGGGTTAACATGAGTTGCAGTTGATTGCGTCCTGTGAGCTGAAGTCTATTACAGGTTTACCTGTCTAACCACATGTCCCTCCATTTCCCTTCACCTCTTGTCCCACACAGAACTGGGAATTCCTTCTACCTTATATATCTCTGAGTGACTGGTAAGCCTTTGAGAGCAAAAGCATTGCCTTTTCTCTGTTGTAGCACCAGTGCCTCAGACAGAAGGTACTCAGTAAGTATTCGATAACTGAGATAAATGAGTGAGTGAGGTTATTGAGGAGACTAGGGAGGAGACAGCATGAGGTCCTACTGGCCTCACATGAGTGTGTGTATGTGTGTGTGTGTGTGTGTGTGTGTGTATAGATATAGATATAGATATAGATATAGATATAGATATAGATATAGATATATTATAAATAATATAACTGGCGTTTCCCTGACTTCCGTCCTGTCCTCGGATGCCCCATCACACCCCAAAGGATGCACAGGCATGGTCTGGTGGTCTTAGTTCTTAATAGTTATAATGTTCACCTAAATTTTTCCAACTTAGTCATTTCAGCGGATGCTACAGGTTTGCCTCTGGTTGTAAATAAGTGCTTGGCTTCCCCACCAGGGGGCTGAAAAGGGAGTGTACTCCAGTAAGATCATAGGGAAGGGTTCTGTGGTTTGGTTTATTTTCCCACTTGATTTATTTGACTTGGATTCTTAATGTCTTAGAGTCGTTGCGCCCCCCCTCCCCCCCTAATTTGCTCAATTTCCCAGAATCATGCTTCCTCTCTTGTTGATCTTGTGTGAGTTACTTAATGTCAGGGAACCCTGAGTCTGAGCTGCGATCTTTTCTTTTTCTTTTTTCTTTTCTTTTTCTTTTTTTTAATTACATACATGTTATTTTCAGAACTTGAATGTCAAGAGCAAAACTCTGGCTATTAAATAATAACAACAATGCCAATGCAAAACAACAAAATGAGAAATCAGAATTATGGACATATTAATATTTTTAGCTACTAAATGAATCTCTTTTGTTGCTGGTATAGATTTACTCAGAGTCCTTGGACTTGCTGCAGACGACTGAAAGCTAACAGATGCTAGCATGAGCAGGAACATGATTAAAGAAGTAGCTTCCACTTCAGTCTTTAATTTCTTCAGATGACTCCATGTTGGCACCTCAGTCCCTTGCGTAGCTTTCAGTTTTCTTCTCCCACTTTGCTGTCGTCTGGGCAAGTCTCAGTCGTTTTGGGTGAAGGGACACAGGAGCTTCTCTGAGTCCATTGTGATGATGGACATAACACTCTGGCACCCGATTTGGCTGCAGTGCTCCTTCTTTCCTTTCATTTTGAACCCAGGGTTCAACCCCACAACACTCCGGGCCTGGATGCTCCAGGCCTGGATGTTGCTCCAGGCCTGGCTGTTCAGAGCCTGGCTGCTCAGAGCATGGCTGCTCTGGCCTGGCTGCTGCTGCTGAGCTACGATCTTGCTGTGAGGAAGTGAGCAGCTATTTCCAAGATGAGAATAAAGGTAGGAGTGATGGTGAGGAGATTCTCGGCCTCTTTTTTACAAAGTGTCAGGAGGAGAATTGGATCGATGGGTATTTAGCGAATAAACTATCCTTCTGGCATAAAATAAGGATTTTACTGGTAAAGCCTCAGAACTTTGCTATTGATACTTTTCTTTTGTGAGGGAGGAGGCACCAACGTTCTAGATCATTCAGCAGAGCTGCTATTCTCAGTCCCTGGCTGCTCACATCAGTCCCTGGGAAGCTCTAAGAACTGCTGATGACTGATTCCACTCCAGAGGAACCGATTTCGTTGGCCTGGGACTCTGGGGATGTCCCAGGCAATTCTTTTTTTTTTTTTTTTTTTTTTTTAATATTTTTTTTTGTTTTTTTTACAGAGAGGAAGGGAGAGGGATAGAGAGCTAGAAACGTCAATGAGAGAGAAACATTGACCAGCTGCCTTTTGCACACCCCCTACCGGGGATGTGCCCGCAACCAATGTACCTGCCCCTGACCGGAATCGAACCTGGGACCTTTCAGTCTGCAGGCCGACGCTCTACCACTGAGCCAAACCGGTTTCGGGTCCAGGCAATTCTAATGGGCAGCCAAAGTTGAGAACCACTGACTTAGCTTATCCATTCTATCTCAGGAATGGGAAAACCTAATCTACACTAATAAAAGAGAAAGATGCAAATTGACCATACCTTCACAACGCCCACCAGCCAATGAGGAGTGAGTATGCAAATTAACCCAGCAAAGATGGTGGGTTAGTTTGCATATACAGGCGCCAAGTGGCAGGGGATGTTCCACACCACAGCAGCAGCTCCACACCAACTCTGAACAGTGTGAGAAGGTGGAAAGGTTGCTCCAGACTGGAGGGAAGGTGGTACCGGCAGCCAGGGGAAGGAAGGCCCATTCTTGCATGAATCTTCGTGCATTGGGCCTCTAGTATAGAGATGATTATTTGAATTTTTCTGGTTATTAAAACACAAAGGTTTATGTATGCTTGGATGAATTAGAGTTGGGTTAGAATAACATGTTTATTGGAGAGTAAGGATAAAGATCTCCAGTATGTTCCTCTTGTCTGCTTAGGCCCCGCCCACATCTGATATTACCCATTCCTTCATCCCACCAAATTGTCTCCAGAATTGACTGTCATTTAAGATTGCAAAAACAGGAATGCAACATTTCCTAGTTTTCAAATTTCTTCTAAGTTCCTCCGATTTGATTGATCACAGATATTTTCTGTTATTAAATGGGCTCATTACACAGTGTATTGTCATCTTTCTCTTTTATTAGTGTAGATTAGGTTTTCCCATTCCTGAGAGAGAATGGATAAGCTAAGCCAGTGGTTCTCAACTTTGGCTGCCCATTAGAATTGCCTGGACCCGAAACCGGTTTGGCTCAGTGGTAGAGCGTCGGCCTGCAGACTGAAAGGTCCCAGGTTGAAGGAATTTTGTTAACACTTTTTTAATGTATCTGTGATGTAAAATCAGTCCTCTGTTTTCAGAAAATAATTGTGAATTAATTTAGCATAGAATTCTCTCTCTAACAAGAACCATGATTTTACTCAACTGTGGGATATGAAAGCAACAAAAAGTTTTCTTGAGAAAATTAAAGAATTAAACTATAATTTTATACTCTTAAACTGTGTTTCACCAAATTTAGAATTCATCTCAGTTTCTTATTAGAAAAAAGCAATGACCATCCTAACACATGAATTTGCAAAGCGATGTTTACCTTTCTTTCATTTGCTAATCACACCAAGAAACTTGTCTAAGAAACAAACTATTTCTCTTGTTCAAAGTCCTACAGTAGAAGCTTATTGGCCCAACCCTGGACCAATCAGTGGCCCATTTGGCAGATCCTTGGCCCACTGTGCAATGAGCACATTTGTGAGGTGGGCACAGATCCCTGGACCAACCATGAACTCCTCTGTCAGGGTCTCTAGCAGCAGAGCCTTGGCCCTTGTATGGAGGACTGGCATTAACTAGTTGCAGTGCCTTCTCTTCCCTTGTTGGAAAGCCTATGGGGCAACTGGTTCATTACCAGAATGTTTGGTCAATAGAGATGCAGAAGATGGGAGCTCGTTGGGCTGGAGCCAGCTGGATGTCTGCTGGGGGGACCAAACACTCAGGCCTCCAGAAAGTGGGTTCTCACTCTGCTCTTTTTCTGGAATCCTCTCTGGTTCTTATCTTTCCATTATGACTGCCGTTCCCCAGAACATAGCTTAACATCTGGGGGTTGGCCATCCGGAGCTGTCATGGCATCTCTACTCAATGGTATCAGTATCCAGGCTCCTTCTCTTGTTACTTTGCTGCGTGTGATCTTTACTCCTACTGTAAGATCTCCTCCCAGCCCAAGAGGGCTGCTGGAGCTCCAACAATCACATTCTGTCTTCTGGCCACAGAAAGGAGGGGATAAAGAAAAAGACAAAGGGCACTTACAGTAGCTACATTTGTTATTTTTATTCCATCTCTTAGGAGGATTTCTTCTCTCCCTGAGATCCTCTCTTCCAGGATAAGTTGATGCTTACTAGTTTTAAGGGGTGGTGTGTTTTGTTTTTTAATATTTTTTTAAATTAATTTTTTACAGAGAGGAAGGGAGAGAGATAGATAGCTAGAAACGTCGATGAGAGAGAAACATTGATCAGCTGCCTCCTGCACCCCCCGACACACACACACACACACACACACACACCGGGGATGTGCCCGTAACCAATGTACGTGCCCCTGACCGGAATCGAACCTGGGACCTTTTAGTCCCCAGACCGACGCTCTACCACTGAGCCAAACCGGGTTCGGCAGGGGTGGTGCTTTTTGACCTTGTACCTAATTCTGGGGCTTTCCTGATCACAAGGATGGTATTTGCAGGTGAAAACCACTAAGTTTGTTTTTTTTTTAATTTATTTATTGATTAAGGTATCACATACTTGTCCTCATCCCCCCATTTTCATCCTCCACCCCTCCCCACTCATGTCCCCACCCCCCTGAAAACCACTAAGTTTTACATGGCTCGTGGCTGACATTACATCTTGAGTTACACGTTCAGTGCTTGAATCAGAACCAGAATGCGAGGCTTCTGAAGTGGAATCTAATGTATTTTTCTCTTCTGCCCAAGTGAGTTTAATTTTGTTTTCTTTCCCTCTGTTTCTTGTAGGGGTTCTGCTGTTGCAAAAATAATTGGTAACAATGTCAAGAAGCTTCAGAAGTTCTCCTCCACGGTCAAGATGTGGGTTTTTGAAGAAATGGTTGACGGGAGAAAACTGACAGACATCATAAATAACGACCACGAAAATGTGAAATATCTCCCTGGACACAAGCTGCCGGACAATGTGGTAAGGCTGTAGGATGGAAAATACATTTGGTTACGTCGGAAAGCTACGTTTACCTGAATTAACACCTGGGACTTGAGGAAATACAAAAGCCTTTTCCTTCTTCTCCAATTCCTTCCGCCTGCCAAGCTCTTTGCTTGGTCAGATTTTGGTTTTTCTAAACTCTGAAATGGGCTTTGGTTTAGTTTTCCAGGTGCCATAACAAAGGATAATAGATCAGATGGCTTAAACCACAGAATTTTATTTGTTCACAATGCCGAAGGCTTTGAGTCTAAGATCAAGATGTCAGTAGGGTTGGTGTTCCTGAAGTTCTCTCCTTGACCTGTAGGTGGCCACACTTCCTGTGTCTCCACATGGTCTTCCCTCTGTGTTGTCTGTGTCCTAATCATGTTAGGGGGTGGTCGGCAAACTCATTAGTCACCAGTGCCAAATATCAGCAGTACAACGATTGAAATTTCTTTTGAGAGCCAAATGTTTTAAACTTAAACTTCGAATGCCACTTTTTCAAAATAGACTCCCTCTGGCCCTGGTATTTTGTAGAAGAGCCACACTCAAAGGGCCAAAGAGCTTCATGTGGCTCTCGAGCCGCAGTTTGCCAATCACGGTATTAGGGCGTCTCCTAAGGACCTTGTTTTAACCTAATTGCCTCTACAAAGACCCTGTTTCCAAACACAAGTCACATTCCGAGGTACTAGGGTTATGACTTAGGAATCTCGGGGAGACACAATTTGGCTCATAACAGGTTACTGTCTTAGCATTCAAAGTGCAGGTCCCATCAAAGCTGGACTGACAACCTTGCCTTTGGCCGCTCGTGACCCCTGGTATATCCTAATATATCTTTTCTGGGTACGTGGACTTTGATCCACTCCCTAGGACACTTGACCTTGGCCTGTAATTGCAGTCAGGGTCAAGGGCTAAATTACAGAAGACCGGGGGGAGGGGGGGGGGTGGATAGAAAATTGTAAGACTGACAGTTTAAGATTCAAGCTTATTAGGTCTGGGGGGGAAAAATATAGGTTACTTGCATGGCCTCATTCCAGTGACTTGCAGGGGAAGGAAGAAATGAGCATGTGACACCGCTGCTTGTTTGAGTGGAGTTTATGAACTTCTGTTGCCAGGGTCACCCTTTGGTAGCTTTCTGCAATTATTTGAAAACCAGACCCCCGAGGCTGCCTCATTCCTGTGGTTAACTAGCAAAGCTTGTCTCCTTTGTTAACGAAATACCCATCCCTGCATATGTTCACTCACCAAACCTGGCTGAGCAGGCACTGTGCATGCCAAGCCCAGCGTTGGGGGCTGGAGACGGAGAGAGGAGTAAGATGACCTTATGAGTCCGGTAGCGGGGGCAGGTCTGTAACCTGACAAGTGCCGGGAGTTGGGACCGACAGAGTCCTGGCTCGCTGAAGACGGTTGCTTGGCTTTGGGTACAGTGCTCATTCGTGTTAAGCACTATGCTGAGTAGTTCACGGATATTGTCCCATGCTCTCAATAACCCTCTCAGGTTTGGTAAAGAACGGAATTCAACCCAGTAAACTTGAGGACCCAATTGGCTTTGATTAAGCTATTCATGAATTGCATCTAGCATTCCACCTGGCAACGAGAGAGGTACTCAGAGGAGTTGTACAAAATGGGAGGTTTTTATGGGCAGAAAGAAAGTGGGGCAAGAAAGTTAAAAGAGTGGGTTAGCCCAGCAGGAATGGTTCAGTGATTGAATGTCGACCTATAAATCAGGAGGTCACCATTCCATTCTCTGTCAGGGCACATGCCTGGGTTATGGGCTGGATAGGGGGCCTGCAGGAGGCAGCCGATCAATGATTCTCTTTCATCATTGATGTTTCTATATCTCTGTCTCCCTTTCTCTCTGAAATCAATAAAAATATATTTTTAAAATAAAATAAAAGAGTTTATTTCAGGCACAGTCACTGTCCTCTAGGGGAAAGCAGGGGATTTTAGAGCAGCTTACCTCACTAGTGTTGATCAGGTAATTCAGAGTGATTGGTTTAAACAGTCCACTCCCCAGAGAGGCTGAAACTGCAATTAGGTTAGTTATTAATTCTTGTTTTGGTGACCTGGCTTAGCAAAAGCGACTCTGTTATGGCCTGTTGTTTCTTCCTTCCTTCCTTTTTATTCTAACAGGTTGAAATTACGAGTTTTCTTGTTATGCTGAAGATTCTGATTTCATAAGTGAAGAAACCAAGGCTCAGAGAGGTTAATGAACTTGTCAGAGGCCACATAACTAGACCTTGGGTTGGAATTTGATTCCTGGTGGACTGACTCCTGTGCCTGCTGAATCTGTTTACTTCTAACGATGATGATTCTCTATTCTGTGTCACAGAACTAAGGCCAGGCAGCATTTCCCATGGTTATTCTTTTTATAAATTTTTACCGACAGTTGATAGTTAACATTATTTTTTTACTAGAGGCTTGTTGCATGATTTGTGCAATAGGCCTTCCTTCCCCTGGCTGCTGGCATCAGTTTTTCTCCAGCACCTGAAACCCAGACCTTTGCTCCGGCCACAGTGGAGAAGCCAAGCCAGCGAGGCTGGGCTTCTCTGCTCCAGCTGCAGTAGAGAAGCCAGACCTCTTTAGTCTTTGCTCGGGCCGGAGCCTTCAGTCTTCTTTTTGTGTCTGTGTATGCAAATTAACCTGCCATCTTTGTTTAGTTGATTTGCATACTCACTCCTGATTGGCTGGTGGATGTTATAGAGGTATGGAAAATTTGAATATTTCTCTTTTCTTAGTGTAGATTAGTTTCAGGCCCATGGTTATTCTTGATGCTGGTGGTGGGGAGAGAAAGGATCCTTAGGGTTCTGATTTTGGAAGTTAGGTTTGTCCAGGTATCTGATGGAAAGAATTGGAGGGGAGAACTAGCTATTTCCATGGCAGTGCAAAGCCTTCTATGTGCCCATTGGCTTAAACAAGTTAAAGGTCACCTGTGGAGCAAGGGCGTGGCCAATCCACCTAAATTGCAAGGTCGTCCCAGCTCGGGTCCCTTGACCATTCCCTCCTTTAGCTGAAGCAACTGGAAGGCAGAGAGCAAGATGCCCAGAGAAAACAGATCATAATAAGCAGCCTCCCAGGGAGCAGAGTGGGGCAAAGAAGGGCACAGAATGGTGTGGGGGAGCAACAGGGAACAGCCCACAGAGTATTCTGACAACTCCTTTTACAGGTAAGGAAACTGAGACATGGAGAGGCAGGACCCGCCTGGCTTCAGGAGCAAGTTGGGAATGAAGAAGGCAGAGCACAGCCTACACTTGCCTGGACTGTCTGTCCGCACAGAGCTCGTGCTCTGCACATAGTAGGCATCTGATAAAGGGTCTGAGAATGACATCACTTGGTTCGGTACGTTTGGGTAGAGGAGTAACTGTTTCCTCCTCCTCCTCGCCATGGCAGGTTGCCGTCCCGAACCTCCAAGAGGCCGTGCAGGACGCAGACATGCTGGTGTTCGTCATCCCCCACCAGTTCATCCACAGGATCTGCGACGAGATAACGGGGAAAGTGCCCAAGAAAGCACGAGGGATCACGCTCATCAAGGTGATGCCCGAGATGGTGACTGAGGCAGGAAAACGTTGCTAGAAACATCCTGGGAAATGTCGCTTCCTCTCACTTTTATCTGTTGGAGACAAGGAAGTGAAGGGGAGGTGATGGCAGGGGTTTGGTTTTTGTAAAGATGTTCAGAAAGTCATCCAAAACATCCATCCCAGGAGCCTAGCTAAGCTCGGATTTATGGGGAGGCTGCTTTCTCGGGCCGATGTGGGGGTGTCTCCTCCTGGGGGGCCTTGTTGTCAGAAAGAACTTTCCCGACCAGGTCATGGGTCTCGCCCACACTCTGGAAATCACCAGCGGTCTGTATTAGTTCCCACGCCTGGTATTTTCCGTAAAGAGGGAGAATTTAACTAGCAGTCCCCTAATGAATCACTGCCATGGATCCATGGACAGAATTCAGGAGGTCCATTGTCTTAATTGTGGGGGAGAAATTGCATTTTTATTAGTTTGAACCTCTAACTAAAATGAGCATTTTCCTCGTTTGCAGAGGAAAACCACAAGGCAGAATTTCGGTAACATTATTAGCAGGACCTGGGCCCCTCTTGTCAATAGAAATTGGGGATGTGGTCATGTCGGATAGCTCAAGTGTTATTTATGCTCATCGCTACTTTGAAATTACAATAATTGTTAGACCTGCCATGACATCTCTTTCTAATTGCATTAATAAAACAGCACACCTATTACTTTTGTAAATAAAAATTTTTTTAATCTTCGCCTGACTATATTTTTAGAGAGAGGGGAAGACAGACAGAGGGCCTAGTTGGTTTGGCTCAGTGGATAGTGTCGGCTTGTGGACTGAAGGGTCCCGGGTTCTATTCCAATCAAGGGTACATGCCCAAGTTGCAGGCTTGATCCCCAGTAAAGGGCATGCAGGATGCAGCCAGTCAATGATTCTCTCTCATCACTGATGTTTCTATCTCTCCCTTTCTCTCTGAAATTAATAAAATTATATTTTTTAAAAATCAATGAATATAAATAAGTGGAACAACAAATCAGTGTTTCTTCTCTCTCCCTTCTCTCTAAAAATCAATAAGTTTTTTTTTAAAAAAAAGAAAGAAAATCAAGGAAGCGGTGCATGTAGGATTTAGGATAGTGGTTCACCCTAGAGAAGGGATGGACTTGGGGAGAGACACAGGGATTTCTGTGGTGTTGGTCATGTTCTGTATCTTAACCTGGGTGGTTCCGCCTGTTCATCTTCTTGTTATTCTTTAAGCAGCACATTCTCAGCGGGTGTGTTTTCTCTTGCCAGAGATGTTTTTCAATATGTACATAGTATAGGATGTCTGAATCTAGATAACTTACACAGTTGTGATCCCATACCTCTTCTCTATGGGTGGCTTGTTTTTCCCTAACTTCTTCACCTCCTTCCAGGGCATAGACGAGGGCCCTCAGGGCCTGAAACTCATCTCCGACATCATCCGAGAGAAGATGGGCATTGACATCAGCGTGCTGATGGGAGCCAACATTGCCAACGAGGTAGCCGCGGAGAAGTTCTGTGAGACCACCATCGGTGAGCTGCGGGGCGTGGGGGCCGGGACCTCTGGTGTTTTTACATGTGCATCTCCCCTGTCTGAGACTTCCTAGAGTGGACTCTTCCCTGTCCGCTTCACATTCCCCTTCACATTCCTGCGGTGGACCTTTAACGGGTTGGGGTTTTATGCAAAGAGGCCCTTCTGTGGGACTGAAGTGTTTCAGCAACTCCCAGTATGAAAGGAAAACCCTGGGGACCATTTTGACCCATCGTGACCTAATAACATTTATCCAGGTTAAACACAGAAATAAAGGTTGCTTGTGCCAACGAGCAGGTGGTCACGTCCATGGAGGGACTCTCCTGGCCTTAGAAAGCCAGCTTTTTATTTATTTTTTATTTTTTTATATATATTTTATTGATTTTTCACAGAGATGAAGAGAGAGGGATAGAAAGTTAGAAACATCGATGAGAGAGAATCATCGATCAGCTGCCTCTTGCACACACACCCCCTACTGGGGATGTGCCCGCAACCAAGGTATATGCCCTTGCTCGGAATCGAACCCAGGACTTTTCAGTCCGCAGGCCGATGCTCTATCCACTGAGCCAAACCGGTCCCGGCAGAAAGCCAGCTTTTTCTTTTCTTTCCTTTTCCTTTCTTGTCTTTTCTTTTCTTTAAAAAAATATATATTTTATTGATTTTTTACAGAGAGGAAGAGAGAGGGATAGAGAGTTAGAAACATCGATGAGAGAGAAACATTGATCAGCAGCCTCTTGCACACCCCTCACTGGGGATGTGCCCGCAACCAAAGTACATGCCCTTGATCGGAATCAAACCCGGGACCTTTCAGTCCACAGGCCGACGCTCTATCCACTGAGCCAAACCAGTTTCGGCTAGCCAGCTTTTTTTTTACTCACAGATGCCAGCATCTGGATCATCATTGGGTTTCGTTGAGATCTGAAAATGGGTGGGAGTGACCCCTATTTTCAGGTGAATAGGCTGAGGCTTAGGAAATAAGTTACCTGCCCCAAGGTCACACGGCTCACACAGGACCCAGGCATGAACTAGGATCTCCTGTTTCCTGAAAGAGAAAGTTCTTTCTAGTCTTATATACAACCTTGATGAAAAAAAAAATTTTTGTTTCTTTGGAATTCTCGAGTGCTTGTGTCCCATAGTAAAAGGCGCGTAGAAGAGGAATATGTTTGTATTTGCAGTTGTTTTGCAAGAGTTTATTTAAATGTCTCTACCATTTGAGAACTTAACTTCCACCCTTGTCAAACACTCAGGCAGTGTGAGTCATCTCACCCTGGCGGACTTGTAACCGGAGGCTCTGAGGGAGGTCAGGCTCTCTTGACTATGATAGGATGCATGAGAGATGTAGCTTCTGAGTCTCATACATGCCTGTAAGTCAGGGCATTTTTACCTTTTTTTTTTTTTTTTTTTTGCATTTTTTGTTTTTTTAATTGCATCGATATTATGTCATTAATGTGGAAAATAGAGGTAATCAAAACAAAGCCATTTTTATTATTTCACTTGATTTCCATTATTTTTTTCTCTTTTTTTCCGCAAAGTTTATGGTTTGTAGTTTAAATCCATATTATTTTATAATTGCCTTATTAATATATAACAACTTTAAAAGTCCATCAACATACATCGTCATAGCTGCATAGTATTTCACTGACGATCCCATATGTGTGAGCACTTTTTTTAAGAAATAATGTTTTTGGAGCGGAGTGGTTTCACAAATAATATAAAGAAGAATACAAAGTGGTCTAGAACACCATTTCCCAGGTTGATATTTTTAAATGTGATACAGCCACAGATAAAGCAACTCAAACATATAAGAAGGTACAAAATTAGAATTAAGATGGTAATTTCTCACCTACTCCCTCTTCCCAGAGGGAATCACTGTTAGCAGTTTCTAAGTATCCTTCCAGGGGAAAGAAAAAAAAAGTACATATGCATATATATCACTATATAAAAGTTTTATTTTTCACAGTTGATTCTTTTATCCATCTGTGACTTAATATTATAGCCTGTTAAATTGTTATGCAATTCAGTAACCAGTTGTTCCAACACAGTCCTATTTGCCAATAATCGATTGGCAATCAGTTTTGTCAATTAATAGGTTGGAATGGATTGGTTATCCCAATCATTCCATGAGGCTGAGCCTTGCTCTCCAATCCCTAATTTAAACCTTGTGTCTTACCTATAGATTTTGGTGAGGATTTTTACCTGCCTCTAAGCTCTGTTTGCTGTAGGAAGGTTTCCAGTGGTGTACAATAGGAGACAAATGCACAGAAGTCCACCTCTTTCCCTGTGGCTTCTGTTCACCCAATGCTTCCACTGCCTTTGCTGTGGGTTGGATCATAAATGGCAATAAAAGGCTTACGGGATTATCACAGACTAAAGAAGGTCAGGGAGTGAAGGACAACACTGAAAGACAGCATTGCCATCATTGTTAAGATTGGAATATGGTTGTGTGCCAGATCATTGCACTGACATCAAATTTTCTGTATTTGATCATTGGGCTGTGCTTACCCAGATCCCCTTTCTTTTTTTTCTTTTCTTTTTTTTTTTTTTTATTAATATATTTTATTTATTTTTTACAGAGAGGAAAAGAGAGGGATAGTTAGAAACATTGATCAGCTGCCTCTTGCACACCTCCTACTGGGGATGTGCCCGAAACCAAGGTACATGCCCTTGACCGGAATCGAACCCAGGACCTTTCAGTCCGCAGGCCGAAGCTCTATCCACTGAGCCAAACTGGTTTCGGCGAGATCCCCTTTCTTGATGACCTTAGCAACAAACACATTTTTAATTATGGTAGATGCAAGGATTTCACCCCACTTGAGTCTGAAGAAGAAGAGAAAATGGCATTGTTGTTAGTATCATCTAGAAATATTAATTGGGATGGTGAACTATGGTGCCCCCTTGTGGTAAGAGTTCCCTTCCTTTTTGGGACTGATCTCACGGAATCCAATACTTCAACTCAGCCGTCCCCCAAATATTTTTCAAAGCCTGTTATGTGTCAGGCACGCTCTAACCAAGTGAGCTACCTGGCCAGGACTGACCATTTTTTATTTCATTTGTGTCTCCACACTCTCTCCACTCACCCCTGGATTGTGTCCAGGGTTTCAAAGGAGTCATTAAAGAGGTAGACTGTCTCCCTGACTTGGCATGAAAGAGAAGGAGATTTTCCTGTCCTTTGGTTCATACTGAGTTTGGAGCTGCCCTTCCACATGGCGGTAGGGCATTATTGTTCCGTACCAGATGGTCTGGGGCCCTGCTGGCCACATTACTGCTTATGACTGGTAATAATCATAACTCGGTTAGGGCTTTCTTACCCATGATGTAAAATAATCTTCTGAAAGTACACTGGAGAAACAGTGCTGATTGCTGTAAATCAGCCTCACTGTGAGTAATTTGCTGCCGCAGAAGAGCTGACGGATCCCACTTTGTGTCTGTGGCAAACGGAGAGCCTGCTTCTCAGGTGGCTCGCAACAGCAGCCGGATGAGCGTCACACGATGCTCAGAAGCATCCTTCATGTTGGAGGCACTGAGCAGTGGCCGTGGTGAGGGACAGAGGAGAGAGACAGCAGTGATGTCATGATGTGGAGGCTGGTGGCCAGCTGACCCAACCCGAGTGATGAGACAGGATTGCGCAGAATCACCCAGGTCGTCTGGTGGAAGAGGACAGTTTGCTCAGACTGACTCAGTTATATTTGGAAAAAAGGAGAACTCCGCTAAATTGATAATAGCAATGCCATGTATAATAGGAAAGTTGCTTCTAGGTTTTGGGTGTAGAAATTTTAGACATTTTGTTATGGAAGATTTCCTTGAAAACAAAAGTTGGTGACCACTGGCCTAGAGGCAGGCAGAGCCCTCGTGCTGTAGCCTTCAGTGAGCATTCTGCCATCTGGTGGAGGCGTTGACTTGGGAGCCAGGAGTTGGCTGGTGGGTTGGTCGTCTGATTTCTAGAGCTAAGCCCTCCCTTCTAGGCCCCGAACAGCCAGAGCACACTTCACATCGGGTTTTATGTGTAACGTTTAACTTTTGTTTGTTTTTAACCCCGAGTCCCTAAAACCACAGCAACAAGAAGTCCAAAAACTACTGAGCATCCGTCTCATTCTGAACTGTCCGAGGGAGGGGGATCTAGCAGTAGCAAAAACGAGGACTCTGAATGCAGTTCTGTGTGAAAATACGTGTCGGTGTTGCATCCGTTCTCTATTGCCATAGTGATGCCAAGTAACAATCACAGGACCTCAGTGGCGGACAAAACAAGCACAGCTAGCACTTCCCTGGGCTTCTGGGGGTCGGCATATCTTGCCCAGGACAGCCGGGTAGCTCTGTTCCATGTGGCTGTCACTTTCCTGCTGGCCTCATGGGCGAGCCAGGGCATCTTCTTTATATATTTTATGTATATATGAGTGTATATATATATATGTGTGTGTGTGTGTGTGTGTGTGTGTGTGTGTATGTATATACATATATGTGTGTATATATGTATATACGTATACACACAAACGCACACATATATACACACATTTTATTGATTTCAGAGAGGAAGGGAGAGGGAGAGATAGATAGAAACATCAATGATTGATCAGCTGCCCCCTGCACACCTCCTGGTGGGGATCAAGCCATGTGTCCTTGAAAGGAATTGAACCGAGACCCTTCAGTCCACAGGCTGCCGCTCTATCCACTGAGCCAAACTGGCTAAGGGGAGCCAGGGCATCTTCTCAGTGATGGCAGAGGCACAAGGAAACCAGCCCTACTGCACAGAGGGCATCACGCTTCTACTGCATCCTGCCTGTTAATGTCCCCTTGATCAAAGCAAATCCCACGGCTGAGCCCGTGGGGGGTGATGGGGCGGGGAGTGTGCTCACTCGCTGTGAGTCTAAGCACGTTGGATAGGCAAGCCTAACATCCATAGAAAGGGATGCACTCTCCTCCCTGGGAAACAGGGTGGTTGATTTTTAACGATAATCTGTAATAGACATAAATACAGGAATCCAGCTTATAAGTGTTCATGGTAGCAAAAAGTTAGCAACAGTGTTCGATTTCAAACACTAAAATGATACTTAGATATAATACATGGACACAGTAAAATAAAAAGCATATATTAAAAATGTTGTAGAAACCCTGGCCAGTTTGGCTTAGTGGATAGAGCGTCGGGCCTGCAGACTGAAGAGTCCCAGGTTCGATTCTGGTCAAGGGCACATGCCCGGGTTTCAGGCTTGATCCCCAGCGGGGGGTGTGCAGGAGGCAGCCGATCAATGATTCTCTCATCATTGAGGTTTCTCTTTCTCCCTCTTCCTTCCTCTCTGAAATCAACAAAAATATATTTTAAAAAAACAAACAAACAAAAAAACAAAGAAGAAATAAAAGAAAGCTAAAAAGAAAGAAAGAAAGAAAATGATGTAAGAAAGATAAGCTGTCATTGAAAATTAGTCATGCAGAGGCCCTAGCCGGTAGCTCAGTTGGTTAGAGCATCGTCCCAGTGCACCAAGGTCTCAGGTTTGATCCCTAATCAGGGCACGTAGAGGAGTCAGCCAATGAATGAGTAAAGAAGTGGGCCAGCAAATTGATGTTTCTCTCTCCCCCTTCCTCTCTTTCTCTAAAATCAACCAATCAATAAGTAAAAAAGAAGGAAAAGAAAGTCAGTTTGTGCCATAAAATGGGAACCACATATACAGTATGTTCCCAGGTTTGAGAACAGCTATGTATATTCATACTTCCACCCATTGAAGATGTCTGCCAAATTGTGAGTGATCATCTGTGGTGGAATTCTGGAATATTTTTATCGTCTACTTCTACTCTTGACGAATTTTGTACATTCTCTATAATGACCATATGTTACTGCTATAATAAGGAAGAACGTATTTAAAACTGTGCTAGGTGTGAAAAGTTAAGATTAGAGGCTGTTCTGAGCTTCCTTTTCCCCCCTAACTTTTCAACAGGCAGCAAAGTAATGGAGAATGGCCTTCTCTTCAAAGAACTCCTGCAGACTCCGAACTTCCGCATCACGGTGGTTGAGGACGCAGACACGGTTGAGCTCTGTGGAGCTCTGAAGGTAAAGCCAGCCTTTTATTCCTGCTGGGGGGAGGGGTCCGTCACGCATGGCCACTGTCAGCATGGCTGAATCTAACCCGGAAGAATGGGCCCCATGTTCCGTGCACTTCACCACGGCCAAGAATAGTGAATGGAGGGCCTTGTTCATCCCTTCCTGCTCTGCCCGCGCCTTTCCTGGGTGGGTCCGGCTCCTCTCTCCCTTCTGGTGTGCGTTTATAAATCTGGGAGAACTGCAGTGTTTTGTTCTTTGGGCAGCTGGCAACGTTAATATTTGGGAAGCACGGCGAGCACCTCGATTGTAGAGGTCTACCTGGGGGCAAAATCTCCTGTTCATTCACACGTTTCTCCTACGTGTTATCGTGAGTAGGAAAAGGAGCTATTTCCTCTGAATTACACACTCTGTTGGTGTGGTGGTTCAGTGGGTTGTTCTTTGTTAAAGGAAAGGAGTCTACTGCTTAGGAAGGTTTCTTTTTTTAAGAATCGTTTTACCTCAGGGGGAAGGTCAGATTCAAGAAGCATTCCTATTGGCGAGGGGCTTGGGAGAGTAAAATAATGGGAAGTTTTCACACTTGGGCTCTTTACTTGCCTCCACTTAAAAAAAAAATATATATATATATATATATATATATATATATATATATATAGATAGATAGAGAGAGAGAGAGAGAGAGAGAGAGAGAGAGAGAGATTTCAGAGAAAGAGAAACATCAATGATGAGAGAGAATCATGGATTGGCTGCCTCCTGCACACCCCTCACAGGGGATCAAGCCTGCAACCTGGGCATGTAATTGAGTTGGCATTGAACCGTGACCTCCAGGTTCATGAGTCAATGCTCAACCAGTGAGCTACACCGGCCGGGCTTGCTTCTACTTTTTAAAGACTAGGTCAAGGTACCTCTCACTATCCTGGCTCTGGGAAGTAGCCTGGAGCTGGGTTGCTGAGTCATTTCTTTTGCAGCAAAAACTGCTTTTCAGGAATTTGAGTACGTAGGGAAGGAAATCAGGGGATGTGGCATTCACTCACTTGGTTAGGTGAGAATTGCGACGATGAAAAGAATGTCGAGGAGACCAAGATCCCCCCCCAAAAAAAAAAAAAAAAATGCCTTCCCACTCTTTCTCTAAATTGTACATTTTGTTTTCTCCTCAGAATTTAAAGCCGCTTTCTAGAATTAATCATGTGTGTGTACGTGCGGTCACATGTCCCTGTACAATGAGAATTTTTAAAAAATTAAAGCCAATCAAAGACCTTGGCCCCCAAGTAGCATGTGCCCATATTTCTAAATGCTTGGGGGTATTCTTCTCATTCTAGGCAGGTCCTGTTATATATTTGAGATGCTGGCTTTGGCTGCTCTGTTTTGTGTTTATTGGTTGGGATTTTTATGTGTTTTAAATGGCCCTTCGTTAGTTTAATGACCACCCGGCAGCAGGACCATCACGAATGCCTAATTGCTCCGTGCCGGTCTGTGTAGCTCCAGAGCTGTTTTTAAGTGACTGGATATTTGGGTGGATGGGGATGCTGTGAGATCCTGTACTGGGGGAGAAGACTCTTGGGTTCCCACAACCAAGGCACATACCCTTGACCAGGTTCGAACCCGGGACCCTTCAGTCCGCAGGCCGACGCTCTATCCACTGAGCCAAACCAGTTTCGGTGAAAGGTCCCAGTTTTGATTCCGGTCAAGAGCATGTACTTTGGTTGCGGGCACATTCCCAGTGGGAGCTGTACGGGAGGCAGCTGAATCGGTGTCTCTCTCTCATCAATGTTTCTAACTCTCTGTCCCTCTCCCTTCCTCTCTGTAAAAAAAAAAAAAAAATCAATAAAATATTTATTTTTAAAAATTGACTATGAGCCAGATTAGCAAGAGAAAATAATGAAATTTAATTACATACTTATGTACGGGAACCCCCTATTCCTGACCAAGTCAGAGACCCCCACATATCTGAGAGGTTCCAAGATGGAAAGGGGAAAGGAAGTTCACGTGACTTCTGGGCTGAGGAAGGAGGCAAGGCTCCTGGGATTTCTGGGTTCACGCGCCAAAGTGGCCCATGTTGGGGAGGCCTGTGCTGAGCCCCTTCATCATCCTTACGATCTAAGATGGTGACCGGAGCTCCAACTGTCACATCTGCCTTCCAGGCAGGGTGAAAAGTAGGAACAAAGGACAAGGACCATGCGGCGCCTGTCTTCTAAGGCAGGTCCTGGGAGCTTGCAGTGGAGTCCTTTGCCTTCCTCTCAATGGGCAGTGCTTAATGGTGTGACCATACCCAGCTGCAAGGGAGGCTGGGAAATGCCCCTTCCCCCTCCCCGGAGCCATATACTTGCAGGACAACCAGGGACTCTATTACTCTGGAAGAAGGGGATAAACCCACAGCCTGTGCCGCAGACTCAGGACGTTCCCTCGTAGGGCTGTCTGTGGTGAGGTAAGCCACCCCTCCCTGCTGGGGATATAGGTTTTCTCTATGGTTTTGGCTGTGACAGACCTTGCTGTGAGGACGGCCTTGTGCCTAGTCTCTAGCCAGGGCCACTGCCAGACCCCTTTGGCCATATATGGCTGTTTACATTTACATTCAAGTTAATTCACACTTTAAAAAAATATGTAATTCTGTTTCTGAGCCACAGTAGCCCCATTTCAAAGGCTCGGTAACCATGTGAGTGTCAGTAGCCAGTGGCTACTGGCTGCTGTAATGGATAAGTGGACATAAAATATTTACGTTGTTGCAGAAGCGTGTAGGGACCGCACTGCTCACGCTGAGACAGCTGCTTTCCCGGTGTGGGGCCTGGCGGACCAGGCGTGGGCTTGTTGTGGGCCCCCTCGGCCTCATTCCAGCCAGGCTGCCTCCTCCGGGGTCCCGCCTGCAACCCCATGTGCCGCGTCTCCTTATGGTGAGCCCGCCCCCCGCAGACAGACAGAGCTCTGTCTGCTGGGTTTGGACTCACAGACAATAGCGAGCACTGACTCGGTGTCCGTGGAGCCATTCTCCCTGCGTGGTGAGAGTGTAGCCTGGGCCGCCTTGCCAGTGTTATGTTCCTTTCCTGGGAGAAGGGGATGGGAGCGGGAGGAATTGAGTCCCGCCTAACCCACCCCAATGCAGAATTGCAAAGGCGGCGCTTCAGGGCGGGTGAATGCCATCACCCGGGAAATGGAGAAGGGCTTCAGCACGTCTATCTCCCGAAAACCGTGGTATTTTTAGCTCCAGAGCAGTTTAGAGCAGATTTAAATGCACGGTGGATAACGATAACTTTCACAGCTGAGCGACCTCGGAGGACATCTGCTCGGATGCTATGCAAACACAATCTGACTGGCTACGTGTGTTTATCTTCCTTTTGACAGTGATAAGTGGGAGAGAGAGAGAGAGAGAGAGAGAGAGAGAGAGAGAGAGAGAGAGAGGAGGATTTCAAGATCCATGATAGATTCAACTGGGTTGGGACCCGAGGTCCTCTGGGAAGGAAGAGTTTACGCTGCCGTAGCCCCTTGTTCCCCACATCCCGGCCCCCAGGGGGAGATTGGCTGTCTAGTGGAGACAGTGAGGTGGCCCTGACCTGTGTACCCTGCAGTGAAGGGGCCGACAGTGTGGCCGGAGCCCCCCAGGCCATGGGCAACCTTGTCTGCCTTTTCTCTGGGTGCAGGGACAGTTCTTCAGAGCTCAGGGCCGGGGTGCTTCCAGTGGCTGACAGCTTGCCCCTTTGTCTGAGTCTCTTACGTTGGGTGGGGCCAGCTCTCCCTATTAGAAAGCCCTCATCTTGACTCTGCGGAGGCCCCTGTGTGCCCTGGAGCTGTGAGGTGTGACCTCCCTGGAGCAGACTGGGGAGCCAGCTCCTGGGCTGGAGACCCAGCTCTGCAGGTCCCGGCTGTGGGACCCTGCAGGCTCCTTATCCTGTGCACTTGAGTTCCTCACTTCCCGCCCTGCATCTATGAGGACCTGCCTCGTAGGGATGCTGTGAAGATTGAATGCGTCAATAATATATGAAGCGTTGAGAGCAGTTTTCTAAGGTTAACTTGGGTTGTTATTTTTATCATTTGCTCCCGAAAATCTTTTCTCCTCCTGAGCCTCCATGCAGGCAGGCAGGTGGGTGGGCACTCCCTGCTGACATCTAACCACAAGCAGGGTTCAGGCAGGTCTCGGACCCAGGGAGGAGGGGGTGGCCAGGCCAAATTGGCCACAGCGTGGAAGTAGGCAGGCACAGGGAAGAGTTGGGCTATGGAACCAGGCAGTCGACCCTTAGTGCTGACCCCTCCACTGGATGATCACCTTCTGCAGAGACAGGTCTAGCACAGGTAATGACCCAGCAATTCCGCTCCTAGGCATGTACACACGAGAAATGCCTGTGTGTGGTCGCCGAAGGGTGCGTACCTGGATGTCCTTACAGCACCCTTCGTAGTGGCCCCAACCTGAAAGCTACCCCAATGCCAACCAATAAAAGAATGGATAAGTAGGTTGCACTGTGTTCACACAGTGGAATACAGTACAGCAATGAAAATAGTAGTAATTGTTCTGCATGTGAAAGCAGGGCTGAATCTCACAAACATGTCAGATTTGAGACAAAGCTAGACAGAAAAGATTCCATGATCTTTTCTGTATGATTCTATTTGTATAAAGTTTAAAGACGGGTAAAGTGAATCTGCTGTCGTAAGTCAGGGGAGTGGTTACCTTTGGTAGGCAGGGTTGTGGGGGGCTCTCTGGGGCCCTGGTTATGTTCTTTTTTTTTTTTTTTAAGTGCTGGTTACATAGGCGTGTTCAACTTGTGAAAATTCAAGCCGTGCACTAATGATTTGTGCTTTCCTGTATGAACATTATCTTTAAATAAAATATTTGATTTGAAAACAAACCCAAAAACAAACCCAGTGGACCCAAACAGTATTTAACCGGTGGCCACTATCAGCGTTCTAGTTTTCTGGCTGACAGCTCGTCAACTGCTGCCTCCTGCTGACCCCAGATCTGGGCTCCCGTCCTGAAAACGGGTCCCTTCTCTCATCTCTCTTGCTCACGGTCCAAGAGCAGAGCCGAGGGCTTTGCGGGGAACTAGCGGTCCTGTCCCGGCCTCTCCCCACCCGCCCTGCACCCTCCCCCGCAGGGGTGTGTGACAGCTTCCCGGCCTCCTTGTCTCCTTCACAGAACATCGTGGCGGTGGGAGCGGGCTTCTGCGACGGCCTCCACTGCGGAGACAACACCAAAGCCGCCGTCATCCGCCTGGGGCTCATGGAGATGATCGCCTTCGCCAAGATCTTCTGCAAGGGCCAGGTGTCCACGGCCACCTTCCTGGAAAGCTGCGGCGTGGCCGACCTCATCACCACCTGCTACGGGGGCCGGAACCGCAGGGTGGCCGAGGCCTTTGCCCGGACAGGAAAGGTAGCCTCTGGCCTGCCCTCCCCACGCCCTGCTCCCCCGTGTGACCCCGGGACTGGGGCGGGGGGGGGGGGGGGGGGGGGGGGGGAGGCAGGGGGAGGGCAGGATTTGATGTGTGCTGGTTTGTCCGTTTACCTGTCTGCTTTCACTTTGAGTAGTCGGTCTTACATCCTTTATCTTGTACATCTGTGTTTATATATATATATATTTTTTTAATTGATTTCAGAGAGGGGGGAGAGAGAGAGAGAAACATCAATGATAAGAGAGAATCATTGATCGAGGGAGGGAGGGAGGGTGAGAGAGAGAGAGAGAGGGAGAGAAACATCAATGATAAGAGAGAATCATTGATCGGCTGCCTCCTGCACACCCCACACTGGGGACCGAAGCCTGCAACCGGAGCATGTTCCCTTGACGGGGAATCAAACTGTGACCTCCTGGTTCCTAGGTCAACGCTCAACCACTGAGCCATGCCTGCCGGGCTATCTTGTACGTCTTCATCTTTCTTGGGCTTGTAGCAGAGGAGTGCAGCTCCACCTTCCCACTCTCCTCTGGAAATGAGTGACTCTCTAGTCCTTACCGTAGATTATTTTTAATCCTTTGTTTTTTAAGACCATTGAAGAGTTGGAAAAGGAGATGCTGAATGGGCAGAAGCTCCAAGGACCTCTGACTTCTGCGGAAGTGTACCGCATCCTCAAGCAGAAGGGGCTGCTGGACAAGTAAGTCCCGTGTCTCCCCAAGACCAGAGGAACGCTTATCATCCCTCTCCTCTCGTGACCTCCAGCCTGGTCCTTTGTGTGACATGAACGCCAGCCTGGTCCTTTGTGTGACATGAACGTCTGTGGCAGGAAACACCCACCTGTCCTGAAAATGGGTGTTGACACAAAACACAGACCCAGCTCAGCTTCAGGAAGAACAGCTTCATTCTTTGGATTATAAAATAGGAAGTTTAGGACTCTAGGTTGTTTGGTAAGACCTACGTGTTACCCATTTTTAATTAAAACAAATAATAAATGAATGCTTTGTTGGCTTTGTAAAAAGATAGAATATGTATATCTAAAAGCCCAAGCGATCAAACGACCGAATGACTGGTCAACCAGTTGCTATTATACACACTGACCACCAGGGGACAGACGCTCAATGCAGGAGCTGTCCCCTGGTGATCAATGCACTCCCACAGCCAGGCCAAGGGACCCCACCCACGCACTAATTTGTGCACCGGGCCTCTAGTCTTATTAATAAACTGCCAAGCAATTCAGAAGTGAAGGGAAGACACGTAACCCCAGAATTCAGTCGCAGGCAGTGAAGGGACCTGTGTGAAGGTTTGGTGAGCAGCCTTGCAGCCTGCCCTCGTGTGGATGGATGGATGGATGGATGTTTAGACGAATGGATGCATGTACGCATCTGGTCTCCGCTGTACTTTTCAGGCTGGTCACATGGTAAAGGTGGGCTCAGGTCAGCTTGATTTGCCACCCAATTGAGAAAGGAAGCTCCACGGCCACCACGGAAGCTACCCAGCCACCCTGAGGCTGCCCCTGGCCCTTTATCTTGCTAATTTGTTGAGCCTTCCTCCATAGTCATGATGCTTTACATTGATGTTTCCATCTCTCTCTTCCCCCTCCCTTATTCTCTAATGCTTATGCAGTGTGTTCTGTGTATCCATAACTCTCCGTAATACTCTGTGGGAGAGGGGATGTCTGGTTGCCCTGGAGAGTAGGGAGTGAGGCAGCTCTGTGGATGCTGCCAGGATGTAGGTTACGAGCAGCGTCTCTCTAGTTGTGTTTCCTTCATCCTCTCACGTCCGTCCAGGTGTCTGCTGGTCCCAACCTGGCATCCTTACCTTTTCCTGCTCTCCTCTTTCTACCCGTAGAATTCTTAAGGAATGTGGAAAATGAGGGAGGTCAGGGCATTTGTCTTCCTTCTTTCATTTGCATTTTATATTTCCGACACGGCTATCAAAATTGGCCAGGCAGAGATGGAAGTCATCAACAAGCCCTCAGAGGAGGAGAATTGTCTTTAAACCGTGACTTCCAGGAAAACACCTCCGACACGCATGGTTCTCCTCACACATTTAACAGCAGACAGCGACGCACTGGTGTGCATGGCCGGCCTCCTCAGTGGCCATTCCGTCTTCATCAGGGATGTGTTTAACGTCTTAAAAAAAAAAAAAAAAAAATACCTGGGTGTTTGATGATGGTTAGCATCTCCCAGTCACGATTTTAAAAGAGGGATCTGTGTGACGAGTTTATAAATTCACGCGTTGGCTGGCCATCTGCATTCATCGCTTCACCCGGGAGGACATAGTCTGAAGCAGGCATCCTGGGGGTCGGTAAAAAGCAGATGTAATCAAGGAGGCAAAGCTGGGCTCTGAGCAGGCGCCTCTCTTCAGTCATGTCCCATTTTCCCCCTTCGGGCTAGACATTGAACAGGCTGTGCCGGTGCCTAATGAGGTCTCTGGAGGGGTCACCCCCTCCTCCAGGGCCGACGTGTAATGCATGTGGGATTCTCCCTCCCCTGCACCTGCTTCCCAACCTGCACAGACATAGAGTCGAGCTCTAACCTTCTCCTTGGTGCCACCTCTTGCCTTGATTTTTTTTTTTTTCATTCCGACCCTCATGACTCTGGTCTCCCTCTTATATCCTTCTCTCCTCCCTCCTCCATTGCTACAAAAAGAGCCCTGCTGAAACCAGTTTGGCTCAGTGGATAGAGCGTCGGCCTGCGGACTGAGGGGTCCCAGGTTCAATTCCGGTCAAGGGCATGTGCCTTGGTTGCGGGCACATCCCCAGTAGGGAGTGTGCAAAGGGGGGAGGGGATGGGGCCGCCACTGATGGATGTTTCTTTCTCATCGATGTTTCTGTCTATCCTCTCCCTTCCTCTCTGTAAAAAATCTATAAAATAAAATTTAAATTAAAAAAAATATTTAAAAAATAAATTAATTTAAAAAATAATAATAATAAAGAGCCCTGAGCAGGAGGCAGAGTTGAAGGCCATCTGCATCTTACTAGCCACATAGTCTTAGGCCTGCATTTTAGCTGTTCTGTGCCCCCTGTCTCTTTATCCACAAAGCCAAACTGGTAGACCCGATGATCACTGTGGTCCCTTGTCCCTCGAGTGTTCAAATTCAGAGGCTTCCTGCTTTGACAGAATGATATATATATAATTTTTTTTTTTTTAAGGAATGTAAGAGATGGTCACAGGTAGCACACTAATCTGCAGTCCATTAGGTCAGAAAAACTAATCCGTTGTCTGAGGTAAACCAGATGGCTTAACTTGTCTTTGCCTATTTTCCCCCAACTAGGTTTCCGTTGTTTACTGCCGTCTATCAGATCTGCTATGAAGGCAGGCCCGTGCAGGAGATGCTGTCTTGCCTCCAGAGCCACCCAGAGCATTTGTAAAGTGGACCGTGCAGCACATCAGGCAGCATAAATCACGTTTGGGGTTCACGTGGAAACTGGGACTTGGCAACAAGAGGTTGGCTTGACTGTAATCCCATCATGGATGAGTATGAATTTTTACAGGCTCGTTTCTGAATTCGAGAAGCAGATCATTGGCTAAGATGCACTGGGCGACAACTAGACGCACATATGTGAATGCATGAGTGTGTGTGTGTCCATTTCTCATTCTGTGGATGTTTGCATGCGTGAACCGAAATGAAAAGTCCTTTTTAAAGATTACTTTTCAAACTTTCCCACGGTGGTAGTTTATAAGATTGGAACTATCTCAGCTGAATTTTGTAGACCTAATTTATATCTTTGAAGGAATTTTTTTTCTCTCCTCTTGATGTTAAAATTTAACCAGCATTGATAACATGGTAGAATGGAAGAGCGAATGCATTCAAAGATCAACAGACTGTAACTTTTAAACACTATCTCAAAGCCAGCATAATCAATGACTTTGTGAGTTGATCTCTCTCTCTTTTTTTTTTTTTTTTTAACAAGATGTTTTTAATTAGATAATCCGCTCTGTAACTCCCTCTCACTGCAGTTTTCTGCGTTTTTAGCCTCTTTTTCTCTTCATGAGCTGCCAGGATGTGCAGAACACAGAAAACTCCTCTGGGAATTTCCTGCTGTGACGGACACATTCTGCTGATTAACCACACTTCTGCAATGGTTTTTGTTTTGTGCAAACATTTCCTTTAAGCTTCACAGATCCTCTGAGAGGGGCTGCTGTTATTCCTTTTGAAGATGCTGTCACAGTGCCTGGTTACCTGATAATCAGGGGGCAAGTCTAGTGCTCTCCGCCCCACCCAGGTGCCTCCGGGACCTTCTCCGATGTCCCTGGGCTTAGTTGACCTCCAGCTAATTGTGGTTGTGTCAGAGGCCACAGGCAGCCTTTCCAGAGGCCCTGGGAGGGCTTCCTGCAGCTGAGATGTGTGTGGGGCATTGTCTAGACTAGGGGTGTCGAACTCAATCAGAGAAGGGGCCAAAATCTAAAATCCAGCCTAAATCGCGGGCCAAATGGTTTACTGAACAGTCATAAACTGTCATTGTGATGGAAACGCAGCGGAGTGCAGTGATGACAACGCGGTGCGGGCCACATTGCAAGGCCTGGTGGGATGGATTTGGCCCGCGGGCCTTGTGTTTGACACATGTGGTCTAGACTGATGCCACTCAAAGTGTGGCCCTCGCTTCCTCGGCTTCACTTGGAGTCTCTTAGACATCAGGCTCGCAGGTCCCACCGCAGACCTCAGAAGTGGGGAACGGAATCTGTGCTTTAACATCCCTCCCACGTGTTTCTGAGGTTCACTACGATTTTAGAAGCACTACTGTAGAAAATTTTACTTTACAATAGCATTTCTCAGCCCGTGTTCCAAGGCAACTAGTGTCCTGGGACCCAGCTGTGGGGGCTTCTGGGTATTTCCTGGCCAGGGTCAGGTGAGTGTGGGGAAAGCTGAATCTTGAAAGGTGCAGAATGTATGTTATTAGCATGCCAGCGGAACCTGTTTATGTAACCCAGCCAGGCCCAAGCACATTCGATGACAGAGATTTTTTTTGGCCAGGAAACCTGCAGAAGTTTCCAAGGGACACTGTTCTAGGCTGAGGTCACCTTCGATAACTCAAGTTTACCCATCTCTCCCCCCCACACGAAATTAGGATGAATAACAACCTGTGGTAGTGTTCGCTCTTACTCTTTCCAGCTCAGGCCTGCCACGAAGCTCTGATGAAGCTTTAAGGTGACACTGGCAAGTACAACCAAGGAGGTGTCAGCTCCGCTGAAACGCACATTATGGGGAATAATAAGTGCTTTTAATTCTAGAATTAGAATGGGAATCACTATATCTTCTTAAATGAGATTGGTTTCGGGATAGCATTACAATGACCTTAGATAGCACTTGATAAACTATTAGGGAACATACGAATGTCACTTATATATATTTATGGATTTTTCAGTCACTTTGTGAGGTTTTCTGACCTTTTCTATTTCTGTGGGAATTTTTAAAACTCTATCCAATCACTTTGGGGGGTGTCAGAAAGCCCCCTCCACAGAAGTAAAGTGAAAGCACACGAAATGCTCCAAGTTTTATTGATTTTAGTGCCACTATGAAGTCAATCAATTTTTTGCTTGTGACATGATTCATGTTTTTTAAACGTTTGTACAAAGGTAACAAAGCGTACTTTTTAAGATACATAAAAGGGCCGTGCGCTCATTGTGGTGTCTATTGAGGAGGATAATCAGAGCTGAGGAATTCTGTCTTTTTTTTGTGTTCTCACCTGCACTCACCCTTTCTGCTCGGGGTTTGTACGTGAGGGTTTTTTTCTTTGCAAATGGAAGTCTGCTGACTGTACCTCTGGAACATACGGTATGCCGCACATCATAGAAAAATGCAAATTTTATTATACATTTGTGCTCTGCTTTCGCTATTTATTACTCTGTGAGTTATCTATTTTTGTAATCACCTGTGGTCTACCATCTCTCACTAATTATGGTAACAAAGCGGGAGACATCCAGAAGAGAAGCTTAATCTGTACTACTTCAGCCAATCTGTGAATGTAAAAACTACACTGCTGCCTTGCTGTATCCCAGCCTCCTGTAACGCAGCACAGTTCTCTGTCTTCAAACCCAGCCTTGCCGGTAGAGGGGAGCTGAACTCGCCCTGGTTTTTCACTAAACTGTTGTAACTGTAACAAGGCCCCTGGCATCCGCCGGAGGAGTGGTGGGGCGCCAGCATGCGAAGGGTTCTGTAGTTTTTCCATTAATTCTAATCAAAGAGCCTTTTACTTACATGTGTACTGTATTTGTTTACAGATTATATAGGTGGATATAATGGATATAATTGATATAATTTAAAAGCTTGATTTAATAAACATTTAACCCCCCCAAACCTGTGCTACTGATCTTATCCTTGTTTAAAATCAGTTAATGGCTTTATTTAGGGAAGCTCTTTTTCCCCCCGAATTGTACTGTGTTAATAATAATAAAAAGGCAATTTTTTAAAGAAAGGCTTCATTTCTAATTCCAGTCTTCAAACACAGCCCCAGTTAGGACACTTTGGGAAGGCAACCAATCTCTCTCTCGTGCTCTCTCTCTTTCTCCCTCCCTCCCTCCCTCTCTTTTTTCCCTTCCTCCCTTCTTCCCTCCCTCCCCACCTCATTCCCTCTCTCCCACTCTCTAAAAAATCAATGGGAAAGATATCCTTGAATGAAGATTAACAACAAAGAATTTAGAAGACTACCGTACCAGTCCCACTGTAAGTAAAAATTTGTTATTCAAAACTACAATTTTGTTAAAGCAGCCAGCTGACTAATAGTTGTTGATGCTGAAACTTTACATAGGCACAAAATGGATCATGTAAGTGACATGTTTACAAGGAGTGTTGAAGCAAGAAAAATTATTATTAAAAACAAACAAAAAAACCACTGCAAATTGACCTTTTAGGCAAAAGCCTAGAAGCTTCCTATGAAACACAAGCTGACCATGGGTAAGATGCTGTTCCGAGAAAATTCATTTCCAGTGAGCCATGACCCTCCTGTCTACTAGGGGTCACTCTTTGGGAATGGCTTTTCCTGAGGCCGTTGGCAGTCTGAAAAAAAGTTAACATCATTGTTCCTGTGACTTTCTGGTCGAGTTTTTAGAACACTTTTCTTATGAACAAAGCTGAGTATTTGCTTGGCCGTTGTCAAGTGTCTAGGTTTCATTTGGACTTTTTAACTCAACACCGACCACACATTTTAAGGAACAGCGTTTTTACTTTCACTCTGCCCTCTACCCACTTAGACATCTGCTTGGATTTTTTGTAGTTTCTGTATCCTTTTCCCTTCCTTGGTGTTAGACACCCACTTCTGTCTGATTTGGCTAAATATCTGTCATCTTCTCCCCTCATCCTGACACTGCCATTCTAACGAAAGCAAAAACACCTGCTGCTTGCTCTTTGCTTTTAAGAAAGACCTGGGAACATACCTGGGGAATACTTCTACTGGGTGAACCTTTCATGCTTTAAAGAAGGTTTAGCAAATAGGGTGGTAGACATTGAAAAGAAAAATCCTGCCCAGCTGGCATGGCTCAGTGGTGAACTTTGACCTATGAACCAGGAGGTCATGGTTCAATTACAGGTTCCAGGTCAGGGCACATGCCAGGTTGTAGGTTCCTCCAGGCAGGAGGCAGCCAAAGAATGATTTTCTTTCATCGATGTTTCTCTCTCTCTTCCTCCCTCCCTCTCCTTTCCTCTCTGAAATAAATATATATAAATAATTTAAAATAAAAATCCTTCCCTCTGTTTTCCCTCTCCATTATCTTTGGAGATAGTTATGTCTATCTCTGAATTTTCATTTTGAGGCCATTTTATCAAGTTCCTTCTAAGACCCTGTACCTACCTTTGTTTTCTTCCATTCATATTTTTTATTTCTTAGAGTTCCTTGCCCTCTAGTTGCAAAAGCTTCTGGCCCCTTAAAATGAGTTCTCGCTTTGCTTCAGGATTGTGGCGTTAGATGGGGATTCAAACTTTGAATCTCTGTGAATTTGGGCGAGTTACTTAACCTCTGTGGGCTTCCATTTTCTGGTCTATACACGGTGTCCGGCTTCATGAGAAGCCAGGAAACAAGTCATTTGCTTTTCACAGTCCCCTGAACACACCGGGGACTTCAAGATGGAAAGTACCCGGGGAGAAAAGGACATCCATATTTGGTTTGAGTTGCTTGGGGCCCTCCAAGGGAGATGTCCTGGAGGCAAGAGGACATTTGGTCTACAGCTCAGAAGGGAATGAGGAGTTAGGGAGTTGTCTGGGTGAGGGGGTTAGGAGATCAGAGCAGAGTGAAGGGGGGAGGTCAGGGCCCAGTAACAGCTACGTGAGCTAAGACGAAAGTGTCCAGGTAAGGTCTGGACAGAAGCTCACTTTTCGGGGGGAGCAGGGTTCATAAACCGGACTCCCATTCCTCAGGATGGACTCATCCAAGGCCCCATTCTCATGTTCGTTTCAGCTTTATGGAGGCAGCATTGACCAACGCGATGATTTGATACATGTATGCATTGCGAAATGGTTGCCACAAGCTAATGGACATATTCGTCGCTCATATTTACCTTTCTGTTGTGGTAGTGGTGGTGAGAACTCTTAGGATCTATATTTTCTTAGCAAACTTCAGGTATAAAAAACACGGTATTATCAACTAGAGTCACCAGTATGTGCATTAGGTCTCCAGAACTTACTCATCTTATGAATGAGAATCATTGTCCTTTGGCCAACATATTTCCATTTCTCCCCCGCAACCCCAGCTCCTCACAGTCCCCACTCTACTCTCTGAGTCTATCAGTTCGACTTGTTTAAATCCCACATAAAAGTGAGATCACACAGTATTTGTCTCTGTCTGGCTTATTTCACTTAGCGTGCGTCTTCTGGGTTCATCCATGTTTTCACAAATGGCAGAATTTCCTTTCATTGGTGGCCGAGTAATATTCTTGTGTATAAATATACTGCATTCATTTATGCACTCGTTCGTATATTCCTATACGTTGGCTATTGCGAATAATGCTGCGACGAACATGGGAGTGCAGATATCAGTTTGAGATGGTGATTTCCTTTCCTTTGGAGATATACACAGAGGTGGGATTGCTGGATCACATGGTAGTTCTAGATTTTTTTAGGGAATTCCATGCTGGTTTGTATTTGTATTTACATTCCCACTAACATTATCACATCCTTTTTTCCACATCCTTGCCAACACTTGTTATCTGTTGTCATTTTGATAATAGCCATTCACAACATCCAACAGATGTGAAGTGATAGTTCATTGTGGTTTTGATTGTCTTTTCTCAACAGTTAGTGATATTGAGCACCTTTTCATGCGCCTATTGGGCTCCATACTCATACGATGCTCCTCTACTCAACAAAGCCATTGACAGGCAGTTTAAAATCACTCACTGCAATGCCCAGAGCAATCACTTGAGGGCAGCACCGCACAAGGGTAATGCAACCAACATCATTGATTCAGCGGATACTTATTGAGGGCATACTAGTTTACTGGTAATGTGCTAAGCGAGTTTGTAACCACAGCATTGACCTAGCCTGAGGAAGTCAACCTAGAACCCTCCCCAAATGTATGTCCTTAGCCATGAGGCTTCACAGTCTGTTTACCAGTCCCTGGGATCAGGGCTTGGCCTGTGACTTGCTTTGCCGGTGCAATCTCGCAGAAGTGATGGTGAGACAGGTCCAAGAACTTTTGTTCTCCTTAGTCTCGTTTCTAGGAAATAATATGAATCATGTTTAAATATTTCTATTACATTTAGTAGCTTAATTTCATTTATTTTTAACTGCTACCTCATTTTCCATTATATGGATAAACCCCAATATAGTTACCAATCTCCCTATTGATGGCATATAGGTTGAAGATTTTTACTAATACAGAAAATGGCAAGAAATTCCTATGCATGCCTCCTATTTACATGGATGAGACTTCTTTTTATGAACATACTATAGCAAGTCCTGGAATATACACACTTTACATTTATTGAAATATTGCTAAATTGCTTCCCAAAGGTTTTGGACCAATCTACTCTCCCACCAGCAATATATGGAAATTCTCACTTCTCCATATTTGCCATCACTTAGTATCATCATATTAATTTTTATAGTTTTTTTTTCCCCTAACTTGCTGGGTCTAAAATGGTAGTTGGTTGATATATTAATGTATATTTTGCTAATTTCCAAAGAGGTTTGGCCTCTTCCTATGTGTACATCAGCC